GGAAACCTATTCACTTGATCACGTGATTCAGAACTTGCACACGTTTGACTCTGATCTTATTTCCATACTGTATCAGTTCACTAAAGTGGCGGTATCATGTAAGGAATCTTTAAGATGAGATATGATTTTGGTGGGCATGCCGCTGATTGGACAAAATGCTTTTGGCGGGTTTGATTCTGGTTGGTCAAATGTTTTTGGTGGGCTCAATGCTGAGTGGTCCAATGTTTTTGGCGGGCTTGATGGTGATTGGTTGACCTAGCTGACACATATTTTATCACTTCAACCCGCCTCCGTCTCTGCCTTGTATAAATACGGGTGGTTGTCCTGTAGTCGAGTCATTCGTTCATCGAATACAGTGCTGATGAGTTGTTCTCCCTTCGCTTCCTGGAAGATGGATAACCTATACGAGCGGCGGGTGAGGAAGAATTCCGCTCTTCCTGCTGACCCTCCTCAAGTTGTGCTCTCTTCGAAGGCAGTACCGGCTAAGCGTCGCTATGTGTCACCTGCTCCTACCAAGCTCCACAAAGAGATTGTGGTAGATGGGTTTCAGGAGGACATGCAACTGTCCTACAAGTCATCAGGTAGATCCTTCTACAAGCCTGGTTATAAGATGTACTTCCCTTCAGGAGCTCTACCAGCCTGTGGTAGTACGGCAACAGCTCGCAAAGATGCTCAAGGACAGGTTTACATCGAACTGAATGAGTCCACTGAGTTCATCATTACGAACTTGATCAAGACTTGTCCATCGCTCCGTGACACTCTCCGAAGAGGACGTGTGGAGAAGATCAAGACCAACTTCTACCCATCACGTTCGTCCTACGGTCAATGTCGGGTGTACATCAACGGTGAAAGCAAGCTAGTCCCGACCAGCTGGTTCGAACTGGATGTGGAACAAGATGTTTTCATCTACCCCGGGGCAGTCTCCCTCGACATTGACGAGCAAGCGTTGAAGGTACGTCTTGCTGTTGCTCCAATCGTCTGCATCAACGTGGACCCAAGATGTTTTCATCGTTCTCTGGACGCACACATGACACTTTCTACCACGGAACTGAAACAGCTAACTGAGAGCTTCATATCATTATGCAGTGTCGCCGTCCAACATGACGATCAGCTGGTAGAGACCTTCCAATAAGTCTTTAATGAACTGCATTCTTTATCAGACAGTTGATCATTCATTTCTATCCTATCCTATTTGACTGTATACTACTTCCTGCTGCAATATATCATTATAGTCAAAACTTCTAGAAAACAAGTATGGGTGGTGTTGTGTCGAGTAATACATCCACGGAAGAGTGCTGCCTTGCCTCTTCTGATTCTAGCATCCCCACTGATACTAGTAGGGTATGGGTTGCAGGATGTGAAAAGAATGGAGTTGGAAAAGATGAGCCAGGGTGATTTCATGTGCGCACCATCAAGGAATGCGTCAATCATGACAAGGTTCCATCATGAATGTGAAGACTTCGAGACTCGTCATGCCTTTGACATGGACCATTTATTCGTTCCAGATTCACCGTTGTTTCACGAGTCTGCTAAAAAAGTTGCTATCTGCTAAAAAAGTTGCAATGAAAAAAATAAAAAATAAAAAAATAAAAAAAAATGAAAAAATCCAAGCGCGTTTTGTACGGTCATACCTCAAAAAGAAGAAGATTAAGTTCCAGTATGAAGCTACCAAGTCCGATTTGAACAAGGTGGCGGGGCTCGAGTCTCTCAAGTGCCGGTGGCGATTCATGTTATTATTATTTTATTTATTTTACTAGGGTGTTTCCCACAGACCATGTGTTTGGTTACGCTGCACAAGCAGCGCATTACTTTATCCCTTCCACTAATTGTTATCGGCCAATCAGCATACTCTCACCACCTCACATCCAATCAGCATACCCCACGTCACACTAACGTTACACAAACTTGTCTCATATATGCGAAAAAATGGTACTGGATCATAGCAACATCCTCCTGGATAATGAACAAAATAACGATTAAAACACAACAACCGACAACAACCGACAACAACCAACAACAACCAAAAACAACCAACAACAGCCAACAACAACCGACAACAACCGACAACAACCGACAACAACCGACAACAACCGACAACAACTAACAACAACTGACAACAACCAACTACAGCCAACAACAACAACAAACAACAACAACCAACAACCGACAACAACAAACAACAACAACCAACAACAACCAACAACAGCCAACAACAACCAACAACAACCAACAACAACCGACAACAACCGACAACAACCGACAACAACATCCAACAACCAACAACAACTGACAACAACCAACTACAACCAACAACAACACACAACAACAACCAACAACCGACAACAACAAACAACAACAACCAACAACAGCCAACAACAACCAACAACAACCAACAACAACGGACAACAACCGACAACAACCAACAACAGCCAACACCAACCAACACCAACCAACAACAACACCCAACAACCGACAACAACACCCAACAACCGACAACAACACCCAACAACCGACAACAACACCCAACAACCGACAACAACCGACAACAACAACCAACAACAACCAACAACACCTGACAACAACCGACAACAACCAACAACGCCCAACAACAACCAACAACAACCAACAATAACCAACAACAACCGACAACAACCGACAACAACATCCAACAGCCAACAACAACCGACAACAATCAACAATAACAACCAACAACCGACAGCAACAACCAATAACAACCAACAACCGACAGCAACAACTAATAACAACATCAACAACGACGACGATAACGACGACAACAACCGACAACAACATCAACAACAACCAACAACAACCAACAACAACCAACAGCAACAACCAATAACAACATCAACAACGACGACGATAACGACGACAACAACCGACAACAACATCAACAATGACGACGACGATAACGACGACAACCACAACAGTGTCCGGTAATGTGTGGTAGAGAATGGCAGTCAGCCAGTCTGTGTACAGTTGAACATGTATAATAATAATAAAACACATTTCGCGTAGTTGAGCACTAAATAAAGAAATTCAGTGTTTTTTCCCACTTTTGTCTTGTGAGCATCATCAGCAAGGTGTAGTAGCTGCTGATACTGATTTGTCCTCGAGTGTCGAGCTGCACAGTTTCTTCCACTCTGTCTTGTCCTCTGCATGTTGCCGGCACCTGGAAAGGTCTTCCATGGTCTTCATGGGCACACCCAGCTTATTCAACTGAGCGACCAGACTTGTGGCTAGTGTCAACCTTGGCCGCCCACGAGGTGCTTTGTTGTCCTTGTCCAAATAGCCGCTCATGGCTACTTAGGGTGGCGTGTCCGTGTCCATCTGTAACACATGACTGGTCATTCGTAGTCGCCTACATGCAACTGTGTCATGTATTACTACAAGAACTCAACCAAGTCCTCAGCAGTCATGGAGTAGCGGCAGGTCGGGCAAGTTGGGCTGGGGGCAGAACTGATTCACTCCTTCATACAGTGGAAGTGAAATTCATGACCGCACTCCAACTTGGATAGAGGACGGTCCAGGGTATCCTGACAAATCACACAAATGGGCTCATGACTTATTGCTGACGAGTCTACCTTAGTAGGCACTATATTGATGTACTGCAGCTCCATGGGGTGTATTGCCAGGTCTTGATGGTGGCTACCGTAATACACCCCGTTGAGGTACCACTGATAGATACCCTCCTCCTCCTGAGAGATGAAAGCAGGTCCATCTTCCCTATGCCGAAGGTTGTATCGGTACCACTCCCGTACACGATTGTTACCTTCCCTGCGTATCACCGCTGGCGCATTCTCCCTGTGGAGCCTTCCGTGGTGATACCACCGTAGAATACAGCATGTGGCGTCACAATAACTGACTGCAGGACCGCCGGCTCTATGACGGACACCGTTGAGGTAGTACTCGATGCTACCCCGTCCTATCCAAGCAGGTTTATTAACGCGATGAAGGCGACCTCCATAGCACCAGGCGGACACTCCCCTACTATCAACAAGAGCTGGTCCGTCCTCCCGATGGAGTCTACCATCGACGTGCCAAATTTCTTGCTGCGCGTTTTGATCTGCCAACTCCACAACAGTTCTTATTGGCGTCCGTCTTTCTATTAGTAAAGGACCCGTGGTGAGAGACCACGACCGGTCGTCCACGTCTACACCGAATGTATCAGCCATATCTATTTACTGAGAATAATGTAACAACTCCTCCACAAACACTTCTACAACTGACGTCTTCTTCATCCTGGTTTTTTCCTCTTGGTGGTTTTGGATAAGAGTTGAAAAGTCCAAAAGGTCAACTGATGACCTTTGCGTTACTTGGTATGATTGGGTTTTAGCGGATGATGTCGGTATGCAGCTGGGGAGCGAATTCGACAGGAAGAAGGTAAAGGTCTTGCTTTGCGGTTCACACCTTCACTTCAGTATCATTACAGTCCAAATGGCTTTCACTTGTCACTGTAGCGTTCGAATGTCAGGGGTAATCAGTGTCTGCTCCAGGATTGTAGGACAGCCGGGTACACGTGTACCTGGCGCAACCATTTCAACCGGGTGGGAGCCCGGTACACATGTACGCCCAATGATCTAAAGGCGAATGGATAAGCCGCATTTAGAAAAGAGAGGACAGTAGTTAGAAAAATTACGAAAGAAGAAGAAGTATCTGACACATACAACGATACAAGCCATGTAGTCAGTCCTTTCAAAGTTCGAAGTGTAAAGTACCAACCGGGTCACAGGTGACCCGGTACTATATTTTCAACCGGGTCCAAGCGCCGCCCAACCGGGTGGATTACCCGGCTCACCCGGCGCTGGAGCAGACACTGGTAATACCCCTGTTTCAGCACCTGAGGCGGTGCGTCAAGCGCCGCCTCTTTCTTATCATATATTGTGATACTTGGTAAGTGTGCAGTGCTCCTAGCTCTCTCCCCCAACAATAGAGCTCTATGACACTGTGCTTTCTGCGGTTTCTTTCGTGTTTACAGTGGAGAAAGGCTGGTGGGAGGCCCAGCCGTGGTCGCCCACCTGGCGGATGCGGCCCATCTAACCCGTTACTGGGAGGGTCGCCAGGTCGGGCTGCTGTTGCAGTCCGACTACCGGGACGCCGTGAACCGTATTAGGACCCTGTAAGTAAGCACTGCTCTGTCTACATGTATACTTACCCCCCTCGTTATAGCGATACTTACTTGTTTCGTATCCTCTTGTCTTACCCTGCTTTCGTATTCGTGACACTAATAGTGTTTGTGTGCGCTCATGTTTGGTTTTACAGATGATGTATGACCATCTGGAGCTGCCGTCGGCAGGATGTGCCATTTGTTTCAAAATTATTTGTAAGTACTTGTAACAGGCGTAGTGTAGTAACTGTGTGTGTAGTGTAGTAACAGTGTGTAGTGTTTTGTGATGGTCCTGTGCTATAGCAGTCGTAATGTATTTTGTGATGGTCCTGAGCAGTCGTAATGTGTTGGGCTACTGAAGTACACTGCATGAAGGGGTATGTGTGGGTGCTTCGACACATTCTCGTGCTTCCTAAACCCTAGATATGTGTATAGCACTATAACCTAGATGTGTGTGTGCGTGTGCGTGTGTGTGTGTGCGTGTGTGTGCCCGCGCATGCGTGCATGTGCGTGCATTGTGTTCTCTTCTACAGACTCATCCAAGTCCATTTAAATAAAAGTGTATTATAGTAAACAGTATTGTGTTTAGTTACAGTGAATATGTGGGGAATGGTGGATATGCCTTAGTGTGACTGGATACGTGCGGGTTGTAACTCTTTGCTGGCCACTCTGGATTCTCCAGTATAGATTCGGTGCAGTGCAGAGGGGATTTGCGGTGCGTAGCAACACTGCTTCACTGTGACACCCCTTCAATAATTGTTTTGATGCATGATACTGCGGGCGGAGCCGGTTGATTCTAACTGTATCCTGATCAAAATAGAAATTTGCATCTAATGGACCTGCATGGACAGTAGGCATTTCCCTAATCGGCCGGGCGAAAAATTCGCCGAAAACAGTGGTTTTGAAGAAATTACCCATCTTTTCGCCGAATTTTCAAAATTTCGCATGTTGAATTCGCCGAAAACCGATGCTTCAGTGCTTCAACAGGGTGTATGTAAATGTACATGACGTAATGGGAACGGTGACTTCAAGTACTATGTTTTGACGGTTGTCATTGGACAGTGCTTGTCCAGGACCTCAGATACGTTGTGATGCCAACGAATTCAACTATTCCAACACAACGTATCTGAGGTCCTGGACAAGCACTGTCCAATGACAACCGTCAAACTACGTGGCAAATACAAACCTGCCCCTTGGGTAGATGACGAGCTCCGGAAATTGTTGTTCAGGAGGAAGCGTTCGCACAGGAAAATGAGAAAGAACCCAGCTGACCCGCAACTAGTCCAGAACTTCCGGACACTGCGGCGGCAATGCAAACTTCTCACGCGTCGCAAGCAAGCCACATTCTTTCAGAATGAATTTATTTACAATAGGAAGAACCCCAGAGGCCAATGGAATGTTCTAAACACTCTGCTTGGTCGAATCAAGATCCACCGTGAACCAGGTGCAGAGGTCAAAGCCATCACAGCTACATTCTCCGAAATAGTATCACCGGGTTCGCCAACTACACCAACCGCTACAACGCATCCTACACTGCCACTAGGTCCGATGCCTGAACATAACTTTTGCACTTTCGACCGCATCCCGACAAGCCTCGTAGAATTCTACCTAAAGCGGTTGGACTGCCGTAAAGCGTGCGGCCCCGACAACGTACCCGCAGCAATCTACAAGTCTGCAGCTGACGGGATTGCCCCTGTTCTCGCTCCGCTATTTTCAGACTCACTACAATCTGGAACTTTCCCAACTCCGTACAAACAGGCTAACGTTCGGCCAATACATAAGCGAGGTGATCACAGCGATCCTACTAATTACAGGCCAATATCGCTCCTTCCGCAAATGTCAAAGCTGTTAGAACGCTGCGCCCTTGACCAGCTAATGGAATTCGTGCGTGACGCTCCACAAGCAAACCAAGCACTGCCGCCTGAACAGTTCGCCTACAGAAGACAACACTCCTGCGATGACTTGCTAGCCTTGGTGGCGAATGACTGGCAGCAAAGTCTGGATGCCGGTAAATTTGTGGTGGCAGCGTTTCTTGATATGTCGAAAGCATTTGACACGGTCAATCACAACATGCTCCTGCAGGAGCTTTTTGAGATCGGCGTCGGAGATAGCGCCCTGCAATGGTTTGCGAGCTACCTACGAGGCAGGCGGCAGCGAGTGGTAACACGTACGTCCAGAGGTGAACTGTACGAAGCTCACAGGGGAGTTCCTCAGGGATCCACCCTCGGACCTGTGCTCTTTAACCTATCTGTACGCAAATTGCCCTCGGCAGCATCTTCCAGCATGGTGCGCCAGTACGCTGACGATGTCGCCCTGTACCTAGCAGGCCGCAACCTACAACAAACTACCGAAGAACTGGCCCGAGATGTGTGTCGTATCAGGGACTTCCTCAGTGAACGAGGACTAATCCTGAATGCCAGCAAGACCCAGTTCATTGTGTTCCACTCCAGATCGAAAAAAGTATGCTCCTCCCTCCGACTAACCATTGACAATGTCTCAATTCCACCAGCGACCACCGTCAAGTACCTTGGTATGACCTTTGACCAGCACCTGACATTCGCTGACCACATCAGTGCCCTTGAGCGAAAGGTAGGCGACAAGCTAGCTGTGTTTCGTAGAATCCGTGACCGTCTAACAATTGATGCAAAGAGAACCTTCTACTGCGCGTTCATACAGGCTCAATTGGAGTACGGTTCCAATGCTTTTTATCACAGTCTGCAGGCTGGGCAACAAGATCGCTTGACTTGCCTCAGCAACCGTGCAGTTAGAACTGTTTTTGGTTATCCAAGGTTCTGTGACATTTCTACTATTCTAGCCAGATACCACCTAGCTTCTATCTCCTTACGTTTGAGATTCAAATTGTTCGTACTTATTTACAGATCATTACATAAGGTGTGCAGCCCGCTCTTAACAGACTGTTTTGTGACTAGAGTCAATGCCACACACACAGCGTCAATCACCCGCTCGCAGGTTACTCTGTCTCTTGCTCTTCCCCCGGCTAACAACCGCTATGGCTTGTACGCATTAAGCTTCTTAGGTGCAGATCGCTGGAATTCGCTCCCTGCTTCTGTTCGTATTTCCTCCACGCTATCAGACTTCCGCTCATCTATACAAAAACATATAGGGTACCCCGTAAGAAGGCCTTAGGCCTGTGGGAATGCCCTATTAAAAATTTAATAAATAATAATAATAATGTTGAGCCGAATTCTGATCTTGGAGCTCATAATATGGCCGAATTTGAACATCATCCGATCGAAAAGCCGATTAGGCATGCTCTGTATGGGCAACTTGTCAGTGCACATCTACGATGTGCGAATAAAACGAGTGCATGGCACGTGAACTAACTTACTTGTTTGCTGCACATCTACGAAGTGCGAATCAGGGAGTAGTATAATGACACGTGTACTAGTACACCTTGTGTTGCACTGCGTCTTTCCCGCAAGCAGGGTCTCTGAAGGTCACACGCTCCGCGTGCGTATGCACGCATGCGCAATATGTCACTGCATGCAATGCACATCTACGATGTGCAAATCAGGGAATAGTACGTATTTTACTACTCCCCGGTGCGAATGCACCGAACGTGCACAAGTGCACGTTCGCCACGGAAAAGAACCTTTATGGCACATTTATGGCATGCCAGGGGTCAAAGGTCAAACTCTGGGGGGTCCCGGGGCAAGACCAAGCACGATCGACACAGTGTGCCTTATTTGGCCCAAAGGTCAAAGGTCAAAAAGTGAGCCAGAACCCGCCCCGCACTTACTACTCATGTTCACGGAATTTCGATTCACAGAATAGCATTTCCGCTGAATGGCAGTTTCATCGAAAATATGTCGCTTATGAGATCGATATTACACATGTAATTATCGTATTCGAATCCTTCAAAGATTAGCACTTTCACTGCATAACAGTTTCATCGAAAACATGTTCCTGATGCCAGAGCTATACGTCATATTTGCATTTGTTCCGCGGGGAGACGTTGGAGAGTGGTTTGGTGCACTGGAAGCTGACTTTTCACCTGAATCGGAGGAAATAGCGACCTACTTTGAAACTTACTACATCGGTTGGTTAAGAGCTAATGGGATCAGAACAACGCCTTTGTTTCACCATCAGTCGTGGAACGTCCACACAAGAACGGCGAGTTGAGATCATAGAACCAACATTATCCAGGAAGGTTTTCATCGCCAATTTGGAGCCGTAGTTTTCTGCCATCACTCGACATTATGGAAGGCTTTGGACGCTTATCGAGACCTTAAAACTGGAAAGAATGCGTGGATGGCCAGATGGGCCAATAAGGGAGGATCGGTACCGGAAGTTTGGTCAACGCCTGCGCACCGTAGTAATCACAGTTGTGCAACACGTACCACTGGAATTTTCCGTGCTATTGTCCATGATCGCCAGGTTATGAAAAAAGCAATAGATTATGGCCAATAGCAATAGATTATGGACAATACAATAGATTATGGACAATAGCAATATATTATGGACAATAGCAATGGCTTTGTGGAGCCGTGATGTGAATATATCCGGCAAATGGCACAACAAACCGCGAGTCGATCGGAGCAAAGGCGCCGCCGAACGGCGCGTCGCAGTGCGGCGCGTCGAACCGTAACGTGCGTTACGGTTAGAGATGGGGCTGGTACACAAAGGGTTAGTATTGTAAAATGTGTTAAAACTCCTACCTTTCACTATACACTTTATATTACGTTGTCATACAAAAACTGAACCAGCTAGATGTATCTACCTGTTCCAGGGACTTCATCACAGAACACTTTTAAAAGAATTGTAACCTTTGTCCAATATGGACATTTTGATGTTTGGGCAATGTAAGTGAAACGTCATTCTGTGAACGTGTTTCCACGGTGAACGGTCGTAGATCCTGCAAGTCAGCTTGGGTGAATTGAATGGTTTTATTTTTATTTATTTATTTCTGCACCTCGTGGCATGTCAAGACAGCCAATTGAATTGAGGAGAGGGTGAGACCAACCACGGAAGAAGAAAAAAAAGAAAATGAAGAGCACGTACACAAAGTGGGAAGGGATTAGCAACTTACAAAGCAATGGGATGCTCAGCGAGCTACCCAGCGGAAGTGGGGACTGTGACTTTGTTTACTGGGAGATACTGAAGTGCTGTCTGACGAGGATACGAAATTTGGGCATATCAGGAGCTTGTCTAACACTGGAAGGCAGTTGGAGCTACGTGGAGTAGGAGGAAAAGAAAGGGGAATTTACGAATAGGGTAGACCTAACTAGGTGGAGACGAACGCAGCTTCGGGTGGTGCCACCTGAATTGAACCAATTAAGGGACTGTAAATGAGCAGGGTGCTGGTCAAGAAAAATTGAATGTGCCAGGGTGCACTTGGAAGCATCAAGGTAGTGTTGCAGAGTGGTAGTGGATGCAGCAGCATACAAGTCTAGATTTGAGATAATTATAACGGTCAGTACGAAATATGATGCGCAGTATACGGCGATGGAGAACTTCTAATTTACTTATGTGGGTTTTGTTAATGGTGGACCAGGCAGGGAAGCCGCACATGAAGAGGGGAAGAATGTATGATTAATAAAAATTAATCCG